CTTTGTAAATAACTGAGTTGATGGCCTTAGGAGTCACATTCCTGCCATATGCTTTCATACCAACACAGGCGTGGGCACTTTCTTTAGTGGTTCTTGTCCAGATGAAGTTGGGACTCAATAATGTGTGGTTTTTTATAACTAAGATCTTTATTTTTCATGTGTAGGAAACTCTGTACCTTTTATGGTATGTGGTATCTTACTGGAGAAGCAACTTTTTTTTATTGCCAACTACTGCTTTATTCACCAAAATAAAATAACATGTTTTATACTTGTCTTTTGGATTTATTTCTATTCTTCTCTCATAGGATTGTTGCTTCCATCAGCTTGTGAATGTGAGGCTTCCTTTTTGTTTAATCTAGGGTGAGGGGATGGAAGCATGGCCTTGTGATCAGCCTGTAGGATTAGGTTCCTGTGAGGAAGAGCCCTTATTAGAATGACTTAATATGAAGACTAAGGGACCTTGGAGATAACCTCAAGGTTACTTCCAGTTCTTTTTTTTTTAAAGGCAAGGTATAAAAATACAAGGTTTGTTTGGTTTTTCCTCCACCACCACCCCCACCCCCCCATTACTCTTAATAACTTCTCTGACTTCTATGTTCTAAGGGTATTTCTCAGAATTGGTTTTCAACCACTTTTTTAAGAGAAATATGTCATTTTCTATATTAAAAGCTGTCCCCAAGTTTTATGGCTTTCCTCTAGGAAAAAATTTTACTGTTTATGCTACTAACAGTTCCTGAACCTTAGCTGTGATCAGTATGTTCATGAGGTAGCAGTTCCTATTGTTGTAGCTTTCAACAACAGATGGCATTGTGGGGCCTGCAGGGCTGCTAGAGAGTGGACTTACACATGATGTGTGAGTTCACAAATAGTAGCCTTTCATGCTCCCCTGGCTTATAAACAGTTGGGCTGGAAATGGATAGAGAAGTTACACAGCAGGTAAAGGGTATATGGCTTCTGTCAAAAGTATGTTTCTAACTAAGAGGGTAGCCTTGACTTTGGGATGAGCAAACCTCTGGGGCAGGATTAGACACCCTGTGGGGAGAGGGGAGCGTCAGTAGAAGACACAGACAAAGACAGGTCACTCAGTGACCCAGAAGAGAGCAAGAAAGAGTCCTCTCCCACTTCCAGTAGGAAGAGCTCCCTGCACCGACTCAGTTGATAAGGAAGATGGAGTGGGGAGAGAAACAATCCAGAGAAACAGGAGTTGGAACTTAAAGGAGAATTTTAAACCTAGAAAAGAGGAGTTCTTTAATTGGGGTATTTGTCCTTCCCTCCTCAATCCTGCCAGTAGTGAGAGTGGGGACTTCAGAGCAAGGTGGTCATTACTCCAAAAAAGTTTCTGCATGTTTGAATAAGTGCTTATATTTCCACACCCGCTTCCTCCACATGGTCCTTGTCAGGGAAGTGAAGTGGCTAATGGACGATGGAGCATCTTTATGAAGAAAATTAGAAAACGGTGCTAAAGCTAAGTGGATAGACGAATTTTCAGTTTGTTAGCCAGCTAGCCACAGTGTTTCCAATCACCTCATGTACATGCTAAAGCTGGACAATGAATAAGGAAGACCAAAGAAGAACTGAGGCGTTTGAATTGTGTTGGTGAAGAATATTGGATGTACCATGGACTGCGAGAAGAACAAACAAATTGGTCTTGGAAGAAGTACAACCAGAATGCTCCTTAGAAGCAAGGATGGCAAGACTACGTCTCACGTACTTTGGACATGTTATCAGGAGGGATCAGTCCCTGGAGAAGAACATCATGCTTAGTAAAGTAGAGGGTCAGTGAAAAAGAGGAAGACCTTCAACAAGATGGATTGACACAGTGGCTGCAACAATGGGCTCAAACATAATGATTGTGAGGATGGCACAGGACCAGGCAGTGTTTTGTTCTGTTGTACATAGGATTGCTGTGAGTCGGAACCGACTCAACAGCACCTAACAACAACATATATGAGTGTTGTAGAGAAAAGACCGTAGCTCCATTAGGGTAAAATCCAAAGAGATTTATTAAAGCCAAAGTTACATTGCAATGGGAGGCCACGAAACCTAGGCTGAAGCTCCTGGACCTTGGGAAAAATGCAAGTCACAAGTAATTATAGTGCTGAAGGGGGAGAATATTCCAGTTTTTCTCATTGGTTTACAATAATTAAGGTCAGTCAAAGGCAGGACAAGCAAAGCATGATCTTTAACATTACTGGTTATATGAGTATATTGATTGGTTAAAAGACATAATTGAAAGACATGGGGTCAAGGGGGAGTTCATGATGGTTACAAAGCAGTGATGTGATGGAAGTTTTCAGGAGTGATAAAAGTTACCCTGCTCAGAGCATCAATCTTCAGAGGAGATTGAGAACAAAGAGTTTCCATGATGTGACATTTTGCCCAATACTTCAGAAACTGGAGGAGAATGAGATCCTAAGTTTCCATTAAGTGTTCATGTCTTTTAGCCTGACCAACAAGAAACTCATTTCCTTAATGACAATGGGTTGGTTTCTAGGTAAGGAAGGTAGCATGTGGGTAAAAGTTTAGCTGGAACTGCTAGGCAGCAGATATAAAACCTAGGTGAAAGATTGCATTGAGCTCTTTGGGTTAGTTCAGTCACTTCACACAAGCAGGTTAGATACCTATTTTTATTTTATATCTTTATCATGAGTAATAAGATGAATATAATAAAAATGGATAATTTTCAAAAGAAAAATAAATGGCCTATTAACAGAAAGAGCTTCACCTCTAATCAGAAAAATGAGATGGCAATAAGATAATTTTTCCATTCCTCAAAGTGTCAAAAATGTAAAATTTTGTAATAGGTGTTAGCAAAGGCAGAGAGATTTCGGCACACTTCTATCTGGAAGTAGGATTTAAGTTTGAAGACGTTTGTTTTGGATAGAAGACTATCTGGATTTCAGTAAAAAATTTAAATGATATTCCTGTTGAGCCAGCAATTTATTTTCGAGGAATTTCTCTTAAATGTGGTAACACGTGGACAAAATGTTTATAAGGATATTCATTTGCAGCATTGTTTGCAACACACTGAAAATTAGAGCCAGTCTATGCTGTCAGTGTGCAAGAGGTTAAATTATGGTACATCCTTACTATGGAATGCTATGCATCTGTTAAAAAGAGACAGATCTCTGTGTTCTGATACGAACAGAGCTCCACGCACTATTGAGTGAAATAAAGAAATAGGAATAATATGGAGAGCACAATCCTATATACAGGTGTTCCTTGGAAACATTGCAGGTTTGGTTCCAGACCACTGCAATAAAGTGAATATTGCAATAAAGCGAGTCACACGAATTTTTGTGTTTTCCAATGCATATAAAAGTTATACTTACACCGTACTGTAATCTATTATGTGTACAGTAGCATGTCTAAAAAAAGTGGACATATCTTAGTTTAAAAATACTTTTGTTAAAAAATGGTAACCATCATCTGAGCCTTCAGAGAGTTGTAATCTTTTTGCTGGTGGAGAATCTTGCTTGTTGATGGCTGCTGACTGATCAGGGTGGTGGTTGCTGAAGGGTGGGGTGGCTTTGTCAATTTCTTAAAATAAGACAACAATGAAGCTTGCCGCATCGATTGACTCTTCCTTTCATGAAAGATTTCTCTAGCATGCGATGCTGTTTGATAGCATTTTACCCACAGTAGAACTTCTTTCAAAATTGGAGTCCGTCCTCTCAAACCCTGATGCTGCTTTATCAACTAAGCTTGTGTAATATTCTAAATCTTTTGTTGTCATTTCAACAGTGTTTACAGCGTCTTCACCGGAGTAGATTCTATCTCAAGAAACCACTTTCTTTGCTCATCCATGAGAAAAGTTTTATCATGAAATTGCAGCAATTCAGTCACGTCTGCAGTTACTTCCTCCAGTTAAGTCTTGAACCTCTCAGTGTTATCCATGAGGATTGGAATCAACTCCTTCCAAACTCCTGTTACTGTTGATATTTTGACCTCCTCCCATGAATCACGAATGTTCTTAATGGCATCTAGAATGGCGAATTCTTTCCAGGAGGTTTTCAGTTTACTTTGCCCAAATCTGTCAGAGGAATCACTATCTATGGCAGCTATTGCCTTGTGAAATTTATTTCTTAAATAATAAGACTTGAAAGTCGAAATTACTCCTTGATCCATGAGCTGCAGAATGGATGTTGTGTTAGCAGGCATGAAAACAATCTCCTTATACATCTCCATCAGAGTTCTTGGGTGACCAGGTGAATTGTCAATGAGCAGTAATATTTTGAATCTTTTTTTCTGAGCAGTAGGTCTACACAGTGGGCTTAAAATATTCATTAAACCATGTTGTAAACAGATGTGCTGTCATCCGGGCTTTGTTGTTTCATTTATGGAGCACAGGCAGAGTGGATTTCACATAATTCTTAAGGGCCCTAGGATTTTCAGAATGGTAAACGAGCATTGGCTTCAACTTAAAGCCATCTGCTGCATTAACCCCTAACAAGAGAGGCAGCCTGTCCTTTGAAGCTTTGAAGCCAAACATTGACTTCTCTAGCTATGAAAGTCCTAGATGGCATCTTCTTCCAGTGTAAGGCTGTTTCATCTACACTGAAAATCTGTTGTTTGGTGTAGCCACTTTTGTCAGTTAGCTTGATCTTCTGGGTAACTTGCTGCAGCTTCTACATCAGCACTTGCTCCTTCACCTTGCACTTTCATGTTATGGAGACAGCTTCTTTCTCAAACCTCATGAACCAACCTCTGCTAGCTTCAAACATTTCTTCTGCAGCTTCCTCACCTCTCTCAGTCTCCATAGAATTGAAGAGAAGGTTTTGCTCTAGATTAGGCTTTGGCTTAAGGTAATGTTGTGGCTGGTTTGATCATCTATCCAGACCACTGAAACTTTCTCCATATCAGCAGTAAGGCTGTTTCACTTTTTATTCGTGTGTTCACTGGAGTAGCTCTTTTAATTTTCTTCAAGAACTTGTCCTTTGCATTCACAACTTGGCTAACTGTTTGGTGCAAGAGGCCTAGCTTTCCGCCTGTCTCAGCTTTTGACCTGCCTTCCTCAATAAGCTTAATCATTTCTGGCTTTTGATTTAAAGTGAGAGATGTGCTACTCTTCCTTTCACTTGAACACTTAGAGGTGATTGTAGGGTTGCTAATAGATCTAATTTCAATATTGTTCTGTCTTAGGGAGTAGGGTGGCCTGAGGAGAGGGAGAGAGATGGGGGACAGCTGGTTGGTGGAACAGTTAGAACACACAATATTTATCAAGTTCACTGTCTTATATGGGCACGGTTTGTGGCACCCCAAAACAATTACAATAGTAACATCAAAGATCATTGATCACAGATCACCATAACAGACATAATAATAATGAAAATGTTTGGAATATTACAAGAATTACCGACATTAGCACAGAGACATGAAGCAAGCACATGTTGCTGGAAAAATGACGCCAGTAAGACTTGCTCAATGCAGGGTTGCTGCAAACCTTCAATTTGTAAAAACAGCAGTATCTGTGGAGCACAGGAAGGTAAAGCGCAATAAAACAAGGTATGCCTGTATGTTAAATTGGATGGAATGTGTGTGTATATAGCATACACAGACACATTTGCGTTTGTATATATGTAACAGCTGTCACTGAGTAGCATTGTTCTACACGCTACAAGAATGACCTCATATAATCCTCACAAGCTGTCAGTAACCCTGTTCTACAAATGAGGGAACCAAGGCACAGAGAGGTTAAGTGACCGTCCAGATGAGATTTAAACCCAGGTATTCTGACGCCTGGATAACCACCGGTAAGCTATGGGGGGGATAGGGGACTGAAGAAGGCACATTGTTCAGAAGTGGTTACCCTAGGGAGGGGAGGAGAGCAGCTGAAAGGGTATTTGCTAGTGTTTCATATATGTTTCTGTATCATTTGAATCTTTTACAAAATGTGTTCATAGATTACTTATGTATTTTTAAAGGGAAAAAAGTTTTTATGCCGGACTCATTTTTGTTCTATTATGTAAACAAATTTTAAAATAATTCTGTAGGTAAAACAAAAATGCAGAAAGCTTTAGACGTTCTTCAGATTCTTACGATCTTTATGTTTTTCAATATTACATTGGTGAACCATGTACTGATCTCATTATAGATAACCCAGTTAAATATTATCTCAACTGTACTTCATAAAGCTTCCACATGCCTCTTAGTAGCAGTTCCTTGAAAAATGAAGCTGCGTTGGAATTTAGTCTCAATCGTCCTCTTAAGTTTTTCATGCTGGGGGTTTGGCTGGGAGCCTGATAGAGATTTCATTTCAGCTGCTGGTCCTCTAACCAATGACTTGCTGCACAACCTGAACAGCCAACTGGGAAACCAGGGCTATAATGTTGCTACAGGTGACAAGGACATTTATGTTTGTTACCAGTCACTGCCTGCTTTCCTGCCAGAGTACTTCAGCAGTCTTCATGCCAGTCAGGTTACCCATTATAAGGTATTTCTGCCATGGGCACGGCTTCTCCCAGCAGGAAGCTCCGAGAATCCAGACGAGAAAATGGTGCAGTGCTACCAGAAACTCCTGGAGGCCCTGAAGGCTGCACAGCTTCAACCCATCGTCATCCTGCATGACCAGACACTACCTACCAGCATCGTCCAGGGAAGCCAAGTCTTTGCTGACCTCTTTGCTGACTATGCCACATTTGCCTTCCATGCCTTTGGGGACCTAGTTGGGATCTGGTTTACTTTTAGTGACTTGAACAGGGTGATGATGGAACTTACCCATCAGGAATCAAAAGCGTCACGTCTCCAGACACTTGCAGATGCACACAGAAAAGCCTATGAGATTTACCACCAAAATTTTGTTTCTCAGGGTAAGTCAGCATTGACCATTATTCTCCTTAAAGCAGGACTGAGCATTTCTTCCTGCTCACCTTTGATAGTCCTTGTGTAGCTGTACGTAAGCAAGAAATTAATGCTATATTGAAGATTTCCTCACAGAGCTAGGAAGGCATGGTTTATATCACCCAGTGCCCAACATTCCTCTTGAAAAATATCCCTTAGACACCTCTCACCCAGTTGTGTGTCTGTGCAGCCACCCAAGTATCCTTGTCCTCCTTCCCTTCTACTGTCCTGCCTCCCTGACTCCGCCTCTCCATCTTCCTCAGCCTCCCCCTTTTCTGTGTGGAGCAATTCATGCATTGTAGTTGGAGCTTACATCCTAGCAGGTGAGACAGACAGATATATAGGTAAAATAATGATACATTGGCATGTAGTGAGAAGAGAGTAATTGAAATTATCCATATTCCTACTTCATAGGGAACTTGAGATTCTGATTCAGTAGGTCTGGGGCACAGCCAGGACAATCATGATTTGAATAAATTCCCCCAGATAATGGGTACACCAGTTTTGAGAACCATTTTGGACTATACATGCTTTCCTGTTTTTACTATATCCTGTATACAGCTACCAGTTAAGGAGCCCTGGTGGTGCAGTGGTTAAGCAGTCAGCTAATAACCAAAACGTCAGAGGTTCAAACCCACCAGCCACTCTGCAGGAGAAAGATGTGGCCATCTGCTTTTGTAAAGATTCCACCTCACTGCTGTCGAGTCGATTCCGACTCATAGCAACCCTATAGGACAGAGTAGAACTGCCCCCATAGGGTTTCCAAGTAACGCCTGGTGGATTCGAACTGCCGACCTTTTTGGTTAGCAGCTGTAGTTCTTCACCGCTGCACCACCACCAGCCTTGGAAACCCTATAGGGCAGTGCTACTCTGTCCTATACTGTCACTGTGAGTCAGAATCAACTCAGTGACAACAAGGTTGATTTGGTTTGATACTCAGCAACCAGGGCGGGAAGACACTGCACATCTTGCAGGGCCACACGAGGGTTGCACTCAGAAAGAGAATGAACCGGTAGAGGTGTGGGAGGCAGGCTTTCTTTGTAGTAACAAGAGGATGAGGTGCCCCTTGGTTCCCGTGGGAGGATGTGATTGGCTTGTCTGAATAATTTCATGGGTTGGCAGGGAGGTGAGACCCATTAGGTTGAGGACTGGGTGGGGCGCAGTTGGTTCAGCTGAAAGGGGAATTAACCAGGTGGGGAGTCTTTTCTGCTGGTTCAGGGGCATATCTGGCAAGAGCAGGAGCACTTGCAGTTAGGCCCTTTGGACTTGTGAGGCTCAGAGATGTAAAGGCAGCACATGAAAATGTAGGCCTTACAATATACCCCTACTAGGATGGCTATAATGAAAAAGACAACGTGATGAACATAAGTTAATGTCACTGAACTGTACCTATGAAGAATGTTGAAATGGGAAATGTTTTGTTACATATATATTTTCCACAATAAAAAAAATTCAAAAAATAAAAAGATAATGATAAGTCGTTGGCAATAACAATGGCAAGAATGTGGAGAAATTGGAGTCCTCATATATTGCTGGTGGGAATGTAAAATTCTGCAGCTGCTTTAGAAAACAATCTGGCAGTTCCTCAAAAAGTTAAACTCAGTGTTTTCCCATCCCTACCCCTCCCCTCCCTCGTAACAATCAAAGATTGTTTCTTTTTGTGTATAAACCTTTTCACGAGTTTTTATAGTAGTGGTCTCATACAATATTTGTCCTTTTGTGCTTATTTCACTCAGCGTAAACACTAAATAAACAGATAAGTGGTAACTTTGGTGAACGGTAAGATAGTACACAATACTGGGGAAGCCAGCACAGTTAGTCCAAGGCAAGGTCATGGAAGCTCCATAGACACATCCAAACTCCCTGAGGGACTGAATTACTGGGCTGAGGGCTGTGGGGACCATGGTCTCAGGGAACATCTAGCTCCATTGGCATAACATAGTTTATAAAGACAATGTTCTACATTCTACTTTTGTGAGTAGCGTCTGGGGTCTTACAAGCTTGTGAGCAGCCATCTAAGATACTCCACTGGTCTCATCCCGTCTGGAGCAAGGGAGAATGAAGAAAACCAAAGACACAAGGGAAAGATTATAGTCCAAAGGACTAATGGACCACAACTACCACAGCCTCCACCAGACTGAGTCCAATACAACTAGATGGTGCCTGGCTACCACCACTGACTGCTCTGACAGGGATCACAATAGAGGGCCCCAGACAGAGCTGGAGAAAAAAAGTAGAACAAAATTCTAACTCACAAAAAAAGACCAGACTTACTGGTCTGACAGAGACTAGAGAAACCCCAAGAGTATGGCCCCTGGATACCCTTTTAGCTCAGTACTGAGATCACTCCTGAGGTTCACCCTTCAGCCAAAGATTAGACAGGCCCATAAAAGAAAATGAGACTCAAGGGGCACACCAGCCTAGGGGCAAGGACTAGAAGGCAGGAGGAGACAGGAAAGTTGGTAATAGGGAACCCAAGTTTGAGAAGGGGAGAGTGTCGACATGTCGTGGGGTTGGTAACCAATGTCACAAAACAATATGTATATTAATTGTTTAATGAGAAGCTACTTTGTAAACATTCATCTAAAGTACAATAATTAAAAAATGGATAGCTGAAAAAAGCTTAATAATTGTACAATCAGATTCATATTTACCCACCAAACACAAGATTTGTGAAGTTGCACAGAAAAAAAAGTTAGACTCCATATACAGCAAAACCTGTGAGAGCTGAAACTCGATGGGACTGCCTTGTTTTTCCAGTCTTTCAAGTTTTCCGCTTTTGACAGGGTGCAGTCTTACTACTTTTTCTATCATTTGTTTTAGTGGAAAACATTTGAGTTTTCCTTCTCTGACAGGTTTCTGCCGTACAGTTTCCAGCTTTCGCAGGTTTTACTGTATATGAAATTCTACAATAACAGAAAGCGAATCAGTGATTGCCTAAGGCCAGGCGTATGGTTGGGAACAGCCTGGAAAGGCGCACAAGGGAATTTTTGGGGTGATGAAAATATTCTATATCTTGATTGTGGTAGTGGTTAACATGGGCGTGTAAATTTGTCAAAAACTCACAGAAATATTTACTTAAAGTGGATGAATTTTGTTGATGTAAATCTGAATAAAGTTGGCATCTTAAAATGAATGCAAAATAAAGACATTTTCAGACAAAAAAATTAAACTCAGAGTTGCTATATTCCTCTCCTAGGTATATACCGAAGAAAAATGGTAACATATGTCCAAAGAAAAACTTGTACACAAATGTACATAGCAGCATTATTCATAATAGCCAGAAAGTAGAAACAACCCAAATGTCCATCAACTGATGAATAGGAAAACACAATATAGACTAGCTATACAATGGAATATTTTTAGCCATAAAAAGGAATGAAGTTCTGGTACATGTTACAACATGGATGAACCTTGAAAATATTACGTTAAGTGAAAGAAGTCGGACACAAAAGACTACATAGTGTACAATTCCATTTGCCTGAAATGTCCAGAATAGTCAAATCCATAGAGACAGAAAGCCGATTAGTGGTAGCCAGGGGCTGGAGTTTGGGGATGGGGAGGTGACTGCTAATGGGTATGAAATTTCTTTTTGGAGAGATGAAAATGTTCTGGAATTAGTGGTGATGGTTGCACAACCTTGTGAATATACTAAAACCCCCAAATTGTACCCTTTAAAGGGTGAATTTTATAGTATGTGAATTATATATTTCAATTAAAAATGTTAAAAACATAGATGGGAGGATTGAGGGTTCATTAACAAACAAACCCTAACAGAGCTTACATCTACCTGTATGTTCCTCTCCTATCCCCTTCCTAGCCTTCCCTCCACCAGGTTACCACTATGCTCAGTATTCTGTTGATTGTTCCGTGGCTATTTTTCCCTTTGGAGCCCACAGTGATTTATTGGTACAAGGCCAGACACTTCAACTACAGTTTTTTCTAATTACAGAGAAAGTGACATTTTAGCAAATAAAGCACTTTCACCACATTTTTTGTTATTTTTTTAAAAAATCCATTAAAGAGCCACTGACTGCCAGTATAAATTGCAGTTCTGAGTTTTTTTCTTTAGAATGTTTTTGTCAGGGTATGATTTACATATAGTGAAATGTATAGATCTTAAGTTTACAGTTTGATCAGTTTGACAAATGCACACACCCATTTAACCCATACCCCTATCAAAACAGAAAACATTAACCATCCCCTCAGAGAATTCCTTGTGCACGTTCTGATTCAATCTCTGCCTCCAGAAGCAACCACTGACCTGATTTCTATCACGTAAATACAAATGGAATCATATAGTATGCACTTTTTTTTTTGTCCTCTTTTAGTATAATGTTTGTGAGATTTCATGTTATTGCATAAATTATAATTCCTTTCTTTTTTTACTTCTGAGTAGTATTCCATTGTATGGATGTACCATAGTTCGTTTATACATTCACTTATTGATAGGCGCTTGGGCAATTTCCAGTTTTTGTCTATTAGGAATAAAACAAGAATATTTATGCGTAAGTTTTTTGTGGACATATTTTGATTTCTCTTGGATAAATACCTAGGAGTGGAATTGGTGGTATACGTGTGTTTAACTTTTTGAAGAAACTTCTAAACAGTATTCCAAAGTAGTTGTACTCCTACCAGTAGCATATGAGAGGTCCAAGGACCCATATCCTTGCCAACAGTTGGTGTGATCAATTTTTTCTATTTTAACTGTTCTGGTGATATTTCATTGTGATTTTCCTTATTTTAAAACAGTTATAATTTCTATCAAAAATGTATGTGTGCTTAAATAATACATTGTTCAATTTTGCTTGATTTTGAGTACCATAAAAAAGTATTACGCCTTTTGTAGTCTTATAGGACTTCTGTTTTTTCATACAAAATTACGTTTCCAAGACTTATCTTCAATAAGTCAATACAGGTATGTGTCGCTTAATGTCCACAATATATTACATGAAATAGGACATTATGT